TTTACTGGGTCTGCCTGGGAGGGTACTGGGAGGCCCTAGGGCATACTGGGAATTTACTGGGGAGCTAATAGGAGGTTACTGGGCTCTTAAGTGGGGGACACTGAAGGCTGTGAGTGCTGCTGGGAGGGGATTGGGAGGTAACTTTTGGGCACTGGGAGATGCTGGAGCACTGGGAGGTCCCTGCCCACCTGCCATGTGCCAGCTTGGGAGGCAGATCATCGCTGACTGCAGATGCGTGATCTTGGACAAGACAGAAGGACCTCAGATTAGTGGGCAGCTGCTGGACCCTGATGGGGTCTTTGGTGGTGGCTGCGGGTCAGGACTCGGGGGCAATGGGGTAGGGGAAGAGGGGGGCTGCAGGATGGGAGTGAGAGGTACTGGCCTTGCTGTCCCCTGCCCCCACAGGCAGTGCCAGGCCCAGATGCCCGTCACGCAATTCTCCTGGACCTGTCGCTTCAACTTGTGCAACTCCTGGGGGTCAGAAGAGCCCCTTTGCATGAGCCTCAGCACCTACACAGTTTCCTGCCAAGCTGCCGGTGCCCCCGTTAGTGTCTGGGCTTGGCACGGTCCCAATATGTGCTTGGAGTGCAGGGCCTAAGCATCCAGGCCCCCGACTCCCTAGCTCTCACTCTCCAGCCCCCACCCCCTCCTAGGGAACCCAGGCACTCACCCTCTCCACTCTCTCTGCCCCCCCCAAGTTTTCACCTGCCCGGACAACAGCAACTACAACATTTATGGTTCCCACTGCCCCACCTCTTGCTCTGTGGCCTCCCTGGGGGGCCGTGCTGAGGGCTGCGTCTGCCTGGCTAACTCGTCTCTAGTGGAACCGACTGCATCCTGGCCTCAGCTTATGGCTGCCTTGGCCCAGCAGCACCTACCGCCTGGTGAGCTGGCAGGGGCATGGTGGGGTAGAAAGGGGCCTGGATGCACCCAGATGTGGGGTGGGGCACAGATGTGTATAGCACAGCCCCATTGCAGCCAGCTATGGAGTGGGGCAACACCAAGTGTAGCAGGGAGTTGAGATGCAACTGCCTCTGGCCTGGGGAAAGTGGCTGAGTGTAGCATGTCTTCCTGGACCCGAGTGGGATCTGCATGAGTGTTGCTGCATGTTCCTTCCTGTTTTCCCATTCATCCCCCACTGACAGGTGGGAGACGCCCAATTTGAGGAGGAGTGCTTTGAGCGCTGCACGTGCCGTGGCCCCGGGGACCTGACATGCGAGTGCAGCCAAAGCCCGCCTTCAAGGACTATTGGTTCCAGGATAGCAAGAAGGACTGCCAGCCCCTTGGTGACTGCGCCTGGCTCTGGGGTGGGGAGAGCAGGGCCTGGGATGCAGACAGCTCCTCACATTGCTAAACCATGGCAGAAAGCTGCATATAGTAGCATCTCCAGCTACCTTGCAGCTAGCATTTTATGTGTACATTTTACGCCTAAAATGTATGACTTGACTTTTACCGTCCACGGAGGCTTTTCTGTTCAGCCTGTTTTGCACAAACTAATTGTGCACCTTTGGGACAAAGCTTGTAACAGTATGTGCAAGAAATATATTCCAGCTTCAGGAATGCAAATGTTGCAGAAACGAGTGCCTGGGCTGAACGTGTGCCCTTGCGTCACTGAGATATTCTGTACCCAGCACAGAAGAGTCAGCTGGCCATAGACTTGTTAACAGCTTCTGTGGGACACTTGTACTTGTATAAGGATTTAGTCCACATATTTCTTATACAAAACACAGTGTGTGTCACTTTTCTTTTTACAATAAGAAAACATTTGTCTATCTGCTTTATATTTTAGTGGGTAGAGTGTAGAAGCGGATTTCTCTCTTGAAAATGAAATGTCGGAAAGAAGTGGAGGGGGAGGGGAAAGGAGGCACTGACAGAGTTGAGTGAGCTTTACCCTTCCTTTGCTTGCAGCCTGTTGCTGAGGCTCTCATGTCTGCGTTGTCTTGTGTTTCAGAGCCTGCTTTCAGGTGAAAGGAGCCAGAAAGCTCTCGACCAAAGACTGGAGGTACAATGCGTGTTATTCATGCTCTGTGTGTCAACTTGGAGCAGAAAGTGAAAGCTACCCTTCACCAGCGAAAGCTAGCAACAGAGGCATAATGCCCATGGGTCCCTACTCTGTTCTAATCAGCCCTAACATCAAGGCTACACACAGTCAGTTCTAACCTCTATCGATCACCACCAATTCCAAGCAGTCCCGTCTACCCGAGCACCAAGGCTGCACCAACCTACTCCACCTATGCTGTCACATCCGCTAGTCCCACAAAACATACACCATGCTACCTCCTAGCAGCAGCCATCCAAGCCAGCTACTACTTTACCCCCTGCCCTGTAGCCATCAAAGCCCAACACCGTGCCCTCTCCAAGCCTCCACACTATATGCAACCAAGCTAATGCCACCCTACGCTTCACCCTCTAAATGAGGCTCCTGAATGTCCCCAAGCTTCTACCAACTCCAGCCTCATGAAAAGGCCAGTCTCTACCCAAAGGACAAAAATAAAGAAGAGGGAAAAAGAAGCCAGCATTGGAATAAAGACAGTAGAGGCAAGGTAGGAGGCAAGGCTGCAGGAGGAGAGTAGACACAAGGCAGTGAGGCAGGAGTGGGGAAATCAGGACAGGGAAGAGGAGGATTCATGAGGCTGACTGGCACATAGTGCATCAAGGGGGGGTCCCCAAGCAGGGCCAGGGGACAACAGCCCTGGGACAGAGACAGTAGAGCAGTACATGGGGAGCAAAGAGGAACAGGGATGACTTGACAAGGCGCAGCCTAGGCTACGGTGCACACCTCCCTACTCAGCACTTGGTGCTTTGGGCTGTGTAGCTGCTGGAGCCCCGCAAGGACAGCTGTGGGTGATCCTCCCTTCCACACTAACTGGGCCAAGTGGCACCTCCCTTGGGTTGCCTTGTGAGTTGCCAAGAGTGAACTGTTTTTGGTTTTGCTGAATGTGCCATAGTTAGGGTGGCCTTTAGTTGGTGCTGTTGAGCTTGTCCATAGTCCATGGAAACAGGACTTGTTATATTTGGTTGTGCGCGGGGGGGAGGAGAGTCTGCAAACGTTAGACCAGCCAGTCAGAACTTACTTTCTTGGCTTTCTGTCTGGGGCTAGAGCCAGGGCGAGGAAGGTGCTGTTCGGCCCCAGAATCTGAACCCGGCCCTCGGTGCTGACAGAAAGTTACACTTGCTTTGCATCCCCTCTTGGTCTCTCATCCAGTGATCCCCACCAACTTAAAGGCTTGGATGGTTTGGCCTTTGCTCAGTGCTGCTGCCCTTGGGAGTGGGAGCTTTATTCAGATGCTTCTGTGTGCCCCCCAGGGGTTCATTGGTAAAGCTCTGGAAAGAGGTGTCCCGTGGTACCGTCTGTGTGGTATTCCTAATAACCCTTCTTTCACGGCAAAGTACTGATAGCTCGCTATAGTCAAGCTGGGCAGGTTCGACCATACTGTATGGTGGCTCCATCCTGTTTCTGAACCCCAAAAAATCCTCATGTATTGGGGCACTGGACTTAACTGCTGTTGGCAGCAGGTCCGGGAGCGTGTTATAATTGGGTCTCTTGAGCAGCTGAAACATAGTATGGTCATTAGCAGCATTTATTATGGGGAGACCGAGACATGCCTTGCACTGGTATTGGAAAGTGAGGAATATGGTTTTTGAAAGCTTACCTGTAAGATTTCTGCTGTTTTTCACAAAACTGTCAGGTTTTGTGTCCAGCCCTAGTTATTTCAGTGCAGGGTTGCATTATGCTGGAAGTCTAAGGAGGATATGGTACTTAGGGAGGGTGATATTTAGCATATAGGGCAAATGGCATATTTTGGTAGATAGCACCGTTTACTGGTCTACACTCTGGTTGTAGGTCCAAGAAGCAGGATGGCTGTTGTGTGAGACAGCATGCCTGGGGCCCATGTTGCTGCATCACTGCGGCTCTCTTGTCTGTTATAGTTAGTCAGTAATGTCAAGCTCCTGCCTCTTGGCCCCTCCTGGAGTTTCAGCCCAATTTCAGCCCTCCCCATTTCATTTTTGCTGGCACTTGCCTCTTATTCCCTCGCATCCCTCCTCCTGCTGTGCTTCCCCTGCTGCTCTGGCACTGTGTCACCACACCTGCTGCCCGTCCTTTCTCCCTGGGTTGTTCTGGTATCACCCTTTTCTTTGAACCTTGGTCTGCCCCTGCCTTCTACCAAGAGGGTATTGCTCAGGGTGTATCCTGTCTGTGGCTGTGCCCGAGGCTGCTGGTGCTCTTTCAGTTAGCTTAAGTGCTGGTGGTAGAGAGGCGACATCTCCCCATGGGGATTTTCTGGGTGGGGGTGTCTGTGGTGACAGGAGCCCAGAGAGCACCCTGCCTGGGGGTGGTGCAGAGCGGAGGCTTTAGCCCTTTTCTTCCCTCTCATGGTGGGGTGGGGGGGATGTCTCAGGGTTAGGCTGAAGTTGGTGGCATCTCAGCTGAGGTAGGAAGGGAAAACGAGAGGGGCTTTTTTGAATGGAGCAGACTAGGCTCAGTGCAGTGTCAGAGGATTTCTGGAAAGCAGCATGCGATGGTGTAAGCTGCTCCTTACGGATGCTTATGGATCTCGGGATTAATTTAGTCTGTACAAATGCAGCTATACACCCTGCCTTTGGCCGAGTTCCAGCTGACAGGGCTAAGTATAGGTACCTCTCTGCCCAGAAGGTGCCAAGGCCCAAGAGGATGAGAGAACTTCCATTTTGGGAAAGATCAGTCTGCCACGTGCACGTTTGTCACGGGATCGATGCTGGTCTCACAGACAGCTGTGCAAATTCACCCCAGGTCTCCAGCTTCCTGGGACCCCTGCCCCTGTGCTTCCTGTTCAAGTGTGCTTATGGACCAGATGTACAGAAACTTGCAGTGGTTGAAAAATAGCTTAAAAAGTGTTCCATTTTTTTTGAAAGCTAGTCATTTTATACCACTGTAAGCAAACGTTCTTGGTGTTTCCTGAGTATTTTAATTGCACTTTGCCAGTAATTGCTGTAATTTTCCATTTTTTTTGCTTTCACAGTGATGTCCTCAATGTTTGTGAATCTCTTCCACTGGCTAGTACCTTTCATTCTCTGTACGAAAACGGCAAGGCTTCTTTGAAAAGTCATACAGCACTCAGCGGAGTCCAACCTCCTAAAGAAAGGTATGTACCACATGTTATGGCAACGCTCTGGTTGTACGTCAGAAAATGAGGATGACTCTTGTGTGAGAGAGCATGCCTGGGATCATGTGGCTGTGCAACTGCAGCTCCCTTTTCTTCTATAACAAGCCACTAAGCAACAACAGTTCTTCAGCAGTGTGCCTATCTCTCTCTATATATATCTTTATCTGTATATATCTCCACATCTCCATATATCTCTATCTCCATATACCTTTATGTCCATTTACTTCTACCTCCCTACATCTCTAGCACCCTATATCTCTGGCTGTATATATCTGTAAGTCCATTTATCACTACCTCCATATATCTCCAACTCCATATATCTCTGGCTCCACAAAATTCCAGCTCATTATATATTTAGCTCCATCTGCCTCTGGCTCTATATATTTCTGCCTCTATATACCTATGGCTCCATATATTTCTGGCTCCATAAAATTACAGCTCTGTATATCTCTGGCACCATGTATATCTGGCACCATGTATCTATGATTATATACATCTCTGCCTCTATATATCTCTGGTTCCATAAAATTCCAGCTCTATATATCTCTGGTGTCATATATCTCTGGTTACACAAATCTCTGGTTCCATAAAACTCGTGATCTATATATGCCCTGAGCTATGTATCTCTGGGTCTGTCTATCTCAGGTTCCATACAACTCCAGCTCCATATATATTCGACTCCATATATCTCTGGCGTTATATATCCCACACGTTATATACCTCTGGCTCCATATACCTCTGGCTGTACGTAACTCCGGTTTCATAAAAGTACAATTCTATGCCTGTCCTACGCTATATATTTCTGACTCAGTATATCCCTGGTTCCCTATATCCCTGTCTCCATATATACCTGCTTCCATGTATCTCTGGCTACATATACATTTGGTCTTATAAAACTACAGATCAATATATATACTGTGCTATATATCTCTAGCTTTATAGATCTCTGGTTCCATAAAATTCCAGCTTGATATATCTCCGACTCCATATATATCAGGCTCTATATATCTCTGGCTCCATAAGTTTCAACCTCCATATATCTCTGCCTCCACATACCTCTGGCTCCATCCATCTCTGAAATCATGTCTCTGGCTCTGTATGTCTCTAGCTCCAGATATTTCTGGTGCCAGATATCTCCAGCCCTACATATTTCTGGATCCATTCATCTCTGGCTCTATATGGACCAAGAAATATATATCTCTAGCTAAATAAATCTCAGTCTCTAGCTATCTCTGGCTCCACATATCACTGGCTCCATGTATATCTAGCTCTACATATTTCTTGCTCCTTATATATCTCGCTGCTAATATTTCTGGCTCTATATATCTGTTGTTCTATATATCTCTGGCTGCATATATCTGTCGCTCCATATTTCTCTGGCTTCATATATTTCTGGCTCTAATTATCACTCGCTACTTATATTTCTGGCTCTATATATTTCTGGCTCCATATATCTCTAGATCATTATATTTCAGGCTTCATGTACCTCAGGTTCTATATATCTCTGGCTCCTTATATCTCACTCCCCATATATCTCACTCCCCATATATTTCTGGCTCCATATATCTCTGCCTCCAGATATGTCTGGTTTCTTATATCTCTGTCCCCATATATTTCAGGGTCCATTTGTCTCAGGCTGTATGTATCTCAGGCTCCGTATATGTCTGGCTCCATATATGTCTCTGGCCCCATATATCTCTTCCCCTATATATCTCTGGTTCCATATATCTCAGGCTCCATATATTTCTGGCTCCATATATCTCTCGTTCCCTATATTTCTGGCTCCTTATATGTCTGGCTCCATATATCTTAGGCTTGATATATGTCTGGCTCCATATACCTCTGCATACATATACCTCTTCCTCTATATATCTGTGGCTCCATATATTTCTGTCTTTATTTATCTCTGGCTGAATATATATCAGTCTCTAACTATCCCTGGCTACATATATCTTGGGCTCCGTATACCTCAGGCTCTGTATATCTCTGGCTCTGTATAATTCTGGTTCCATAAATCTCTCTCTCCATTTCTCTGTCTGGTTTATATATATCTCTGGCTCCATGTATGTCTGGCTTAATAAATAACAGTCTTTATCGATCTCTGGCTCCACAGATCTCTGGCTCCACAGATCTCTCATCCCATATATTTCTGGACCCATATATCTCTGGCTCTATAATTTTCTCTCTCCGTATATCTCTGGCCCCATATATTTCAGGCTCTGTATATGTCTGGCTCAAAGTATCCCTGGCTCCATGTACATCTGGTTCTATATATCTATGCCTGCATATATCTCCGGTACCTTATATATCTGGCTCAATATATCTCAGGCTCTTTATATCTGTGGCTCCATATATCTGTGGCTCCATATATCTGTGTCCCCGTATATCTCTCGCTCTACATATCTCTGCCTACTTATATCTCTGGCGCCTTATATCTCTGGTTCCTTATATTTCTGGCTGTATTTATCTCAGTCCCCATATATCTCTGGCGCTATATATTTCTGTCCCCATATATCTCTCTCCCCATACATCGCTGGCTCCTTATATCTCTGGCTCCATATACCACTCTTCCCCATATGTATCTGGCTCTATATATCTTTGTCCCCATATATTTCCGGCGCCATGTATCTTTGGCTCCATATATCCCTGCCTCCACATATCTCTGGGTCCTTATATCTCTGGTTCCATATCTCTCTCTCCACATATATATCTGGCTCTATACATGTCTGTCCCCATACATTTCCATCTCAGTCCCCATATATCTCTCTCCCCATACATCGCTGGCTCCTTATATCTCTGGCTCCATATACCACTCTTCCCCATATGTATCTGGCTCTATATATCTTTGTCCCCATATATTTCCGGCGCCATGTATCTTTGGCTCCATATATCCCTGCCTCCACATATCTCTGGGTCCTTATATCTCTGGTTCCATATCTCTCTCTCCACATATATATCTGGCTCTATACATGTCTGTCCCCATACATTTCTGACTCCATACATGTCTTGCTCCTTATATCTCTGTCCCCATGTATCTCTGTTCCCATGTATCTCATACATCTGTGCCCCCATATCTCTCTCTGCCAATATATCTCTGTCCCCGGATATCTCTGTCCCCATACATACCTGGCTCTATATATCTCTGGCTCCATATATATCTGTCCCCATATACCTCTCTCACCATATGTATCTGTCCCCATATAATTCTGGCTCCATATATCTGTGGCCCCATATATCTCTCTGTCCTCATATCTCTGTCTCCTTATATAATTGGCTCCTTATATCTCTGGCTGTAAATATCTTTGTTCCCATATAGCTCTGCTTCCTTAAATTTCTGTCCCCATATATCTCTATCCTCATATATAACTGGCTCTATATATCTCTGGCTCGAAATATCTCTGTCCCAATGTATCTCTCCCTCATCATAATTCTGGCTCCTTATATCTCTGGCTCCATATATCTCTCCCCATATTTATCTGGCTCTATATTTCTCTGTCCCCAGATTACTCTGGCCCCATATCTCTGGTTCCTTATATCTCTGTCTCCATATATCTTTGTCCCCATATATATCTAGCTGTATATATCTCTGGTTCCTTATATCCCTGTCCCCATATATCTATGGCTCTGCATATCTTTGGCACCATTTATTTGTGGCTAATTCTATCTCTGTCCCCATGTATCTCTGCATCCTTATATCTCTGTCCCCATATAAATCTGGCTTCTTATATCTCTGGCCCCATATATATTTGGTTGAATATATCTCTGGCTCCACATATCTCTGGCTCCATATAGATCTGTCCCCATATACCTTGCTCTACATTTCTCTGTCCCCTTATATCTCTGTCCCCTTATATCTCTGGCTCCATATATACCAGGTCCATATTTCTCTCTCCCCATATCTGGCTCCTTATATCTCTCTCCCCATATATCTCTCTCCCCATATATCTCTGGTTCTATATATCTCTGTCCCCATATATTTCTGGCTCCTCATATCTCTGGCTCCATATATCTCTGCCTTCAGATACCTCTGGTTTCTTATATCTCTGTCCCCATATATTTCTCGCTCCTTATATCTCTATCCCTGTATATCTCTGGCTCCTTATATGTCTGTCCCTATACATCTCTGCCTCCGCATGTCTCTGCCTCCACATACATATATGGCTCCATATATCTCTGGCTCTATATATTTCTGTCCCCATATATCTCTGGCGCTATATATTTCCGTCCCCATATATCTCTGACCGCATATATCTATTGCTCCTTACATCTCTGGCTCTATAAATATCTGTCCCCATATATCTCTGGCCCCATATACATATCTCCCCAATATATATCTGGCTCTTAATATTCTCTGTCCCCAGATGTCTCTGGCTCCTTATATCTCTGGGTCTATATATCTCTTTCCCCATATAACTGTCTCCCACTATATCTCTGTTCCCATACATCTCTGTCCCCATATATCTCTCTCCCCAATATATATCTGGCTTTTAATATTCTCTGCCCCCAGATATCTCTGGCTCCTTATATGTCTGTCCCTATACATCTCTGCCTCCGCATGTCTCTGCCTCCACATACATATATGGCTCCATATATCTCTGGCTCTATATATTTCTGTCCCCATATATCTCTGACCGCATATATCTATTGCTCCTTACATCTCTGGCTCTATAAATATCTGTCCCCATATATCTCTGGCCCCATATACATATCTCCCCAATATATATCTGGCTCTTAATATTCTCTGTCCCCAGATGTCTCTGGCTCCTTATATCTCTGGGTCTATATATCTCTTTCCCCATATAACTGTCTCCCACTATATCTCTGTTCCCATACATCTCTGTCCCCATATATCTCTCTCCCCAATATATATCTGGCTTTTAATATTCTCTGCCCCCAGATATCTCTGGCTCCTTATATGTCTGTCCCTATACATCTCTGCCTCCGCATGTCTCTGCCTCCACATACATATATGGCTCCATATATCTCTGGCTCTATATATTTCTGTCCCCATATATCTCTGACCGCATATATCTATTGCTCCTTACATCTCTGGCTCTATAAATATCTGTCCCCATATATCTCTGGCCCCATATACATATCTCCCCAATATATATCTGGCTCTTAATATTCTCTGCCCCCAGATATCTCTGGCTCCTTATATGTCTGTCCCTATACATCTCTGCCTCCGCATGTCTCTGCCTCCACATACATATATGGCTCCATATATCTCTGGCTCTATATATTTCTGTCCCCATATATCTCTGACCGCATATATCTATTGCTCCTTACATCTCTGGCTCTATAAATATCTGTCCCCATATATCTCTGGCCCCATATACATATCTCCCCAATATATATCTGGCTCTTAATATTCTCTGCCCCCAGATATCTCTGGCTCCTTATATGTCTGTCCCTATACATCTCTGCCTCCGCATGTCTCTGCCTCCACATACATATATGGCTCCATATATCTCTGGCTCTATATATTTCTGTCCCCATATATCTCTGTGGCCCCATGTATCTGTGGCCCCATGTATCTGTGGCTCTATATATCTCTATCCCCATATATCTCTCTCCCCAATATATCTCTGGCTCTTAATATTCTCTGGCTCCTTATATCCCTGTCTCCTTATATCCCTGGCTTGATATATCCATGGCTTCTTATAGCTCTGGCTCCACCTCAGTGCTGCCAGGGGTCCTGCTTCCGTGGTGCCACCCTTCCGGAGCCCCTCTGAGGCTGCCACCCAGACGGAGCCCTTGTGGGGCCAGGTGACCACCTGCCCCCTGAGCTGTGGGTGTGGCCAGGTAGGATGCCTGAGAGTGGGATTCAGGTCTGGTGACTCCCCCTCCTGCCCCTCTTGTGAGCACCTTCAGGCTCTGGAGGGGCAGGTGGCAGAGCTCCAGGCTGAGGTGAGCATGCTGCGGGGGATCCAGGCAGCAAAGGATAAAATTGACCTGCATTTCCGTTCTCTGCAGGGACACGAATCCACCAGAGAGACCCCGTGTGCACAGCGCCCAACTAATCAGTGGCAGCAGGTACCTCTCAAGGGCAGGGCAGTCCAAGCAACTGCTGTGCCTGGTCCCCTTGGGAACAGGTATGCAGCCCTGGTGCCCCTGGAGGAGAAGGCAGAAGAACTGGTCCCCAGACGAATTGAAGCCAGTTGACCTACATCACCAGCTCAGAAGAGGCACACCCCAAGAAGGAGATGCAAAGTTTTGGTCATCGGGGACTCCGTCCTGAGGGGAACCAATGGTCCAAACTGTCACCCAGAGCCCTGGTCACAGCAGGTCTGCTGCATGCCTGGAGCAAGGATTCGCAATGTCACAGAGACCATCCCTAAAATCATCAAGCCCTCTGACTACTACCCACTGGTTGTGGTCCATGTGGGTACAAATGATGCATCCAAGGGCAAGCTGGATAACATCATGGAGGACTACACGGCCTTGGGACACCAGCTGAAGAGGATGGGAGCTCAGGTGGTATTTTCCTGCGTTCTCCCAGTAAATGGACGGGGTAGGCATGATGAGGCCTGCATTGACATGGTTAACTGGCTGCTTCAGAGCTGGTGTCATGAGGCAGGCTTTGGGTTTTTTGACAACAACCCAGGTTTTTGTAAGGAGGGAATGCTGGGTGTGATGGGCTTCACCTCTCCCCTAATGGCAGATGTATCTTTTCCTCTAGGTTGGCTGATCTCATGTGGCGGGCTTTAAACTAGCTTCACTGGGGGAAGGGGCCGCTTCGTGTGAAGAGGATGCTTCACCAGCATGCAGGGTGACAAGAGGAAGGGAAGAACAGGTAAGTGTCAATGTCAGAGGAGTAGGGGGCCACAACTGTCCTGGGAGTAGGAGGAAGGCATGAGAACCCTCAGGAGGCCTCAGGTGCCCCTGCACTAATGCTTGTAGTATGGGGTGCAAGCAGGAGGAACTATGCCTCCTGATTGCAAGAACCCAGACTTAGTAGGGCTCACAGAAACCTGGTGGGACCTTACTTATGACTGGGCGGTGGGCATTCGGGGGTACACCCTATATAGAAGAGACAGGACAGAGAAGAAAGGTGTGGGGGTTGCGCTCTATGTCAAAGAGCACCTCGTATCATGAAGGATTAGCTTCCGGTTAGAGGAGGGTCGGGCAGAGATGCTATGGGGCAAACTACAAGGGGGCGTGGCAAAAGGGACCTTACGGTGGGTGTCTACTACAGACCACCCAACGAGGGGGAAGAGCTAGACCAGGACTTCTCCAGTCAGCTTATGGAGGTGGTTAGGTCATGGGATGCTATTGCCATGGGTGACCTAAACTACCCAGACATTTGCTGGGAGGAGCAGACAGCCAGGTCTGACCACTCGCGTAGGTTCCTGGCTGTATTACAGGACCTTCACCTTATCCAGGAAGTGCACAGCCC